AAAAAGGCATAGCTCAGGTCCCCATGTCTGTTGCCCCTGCAACCACCACCTGCACCACCTCTTCCATCTCCTTTAAAGCACTGAATCTGAAATGTCCCAGCTGGCTCTGAGGGCAGGTATGCACCAGCACATGTAAAAAGCAAAGGGGAGCAGACACAGAAGTCAGCAAGGGCTGAGGGGTTACACACAGGAGCTGCAGTTCAGCCCTCACTGTATTATAAGCTTTTACAGACAGTCTTTTTCAAGCTAAACAGGGACACATCTATTGATCTGCTGAGATGCCAGTGCAACACAGGTGGTGTTCTTCAGATTGTTGCTGCAGCTCCTTCTGCATGAAGATCAATACAATTGAGCAGAGGAGTCTTCTGAGCCCAATTTTTGACAGATCAAAGTTCTGCCATACATGTAATCTTTTAGCATAAGGGCTGTCCCAAACTTAATCCCTCATTCCTTTTTTTTTTTTTTTTTTGCCTGTTCTGAACATGTGGTTGCTCTTTGATCATTAGTTCTAGTAACTCAAAAGCTGCAGGTCCATCACTGGTCATAGAGGCAGCATTTGTACACATTCCTTCGCTTGCCTGCTTTAAAATTGTAATTCATAGTCTAAGAGTGGCATAGTATGCAGTGCTCTTTTCAATCCACTACAAAGATGTTTCTGCCTATCTAAAAAGCAAGATGAGCACATTGCAACTCAGCTGGCTTTATTATACATTCAACATCTTCTTGATGCAAGCTTCAAATAAATGTGTAATATTCAGACAGCTGCCAAAGTTAGTATCTTTTGGTTGCATTTAAAGGAATGATGACCGTTTTTGTAACAATCTGAATGAATACCTTGAGCACTATTCTGGAAATCCTGCAGGAGTTACTAGGAGTAGAACTCCACTGCCCAAAACTACAACAAAATCATTTGGGCACCTCTTCAAATATCAATGAAGAACTGCAGTATCAGAACAACACTCTACACATTCTCTTAAAGCATCTGTAGTCTGCAGGAACACTGAAAGCAACAGGAGTAACTCAGAGAAAGCACGAAGTTTAAACCTGAATTTTCTTCAGCACATCAATGGAATGATTAGTGTATTTTCCCTAACAGCTCAACTCAGAAAACCCTTATATACAGCATCACACCCAAAATGAACTGACCTGGAAATTCAGACCCAGAAGTGAAAGAAGCATGCATTCCTTCAAATCTAAGTCAGACCTGCTCAACACTGCAGGTACATTCTTAGCAAAAACTAAGAAGCCATTCACAAAGTATTCCTTTGAGTAAAAAGGCATACACATTTTGATTTGAATATATAAACCATGTTCATACCACCTAAATTAAAACCACAAGAGACACTGTTCATGTCACACAATAAATACTATTCAATTTTACCAAGTTTATTACATAAAAACACCATTACTACTGAAAAGATTACTTCGCATATATTAATGTTACCCATCTCATTTTTCAGCTTAGTGCCATAAACCTCTCTTTGCTATGGTCTGAGAAGTCTCTTTATCTGTGCATATGTGAAGCCCTACCCAAAAAGAATTCACAGGCACACAGTGACAAAACATCTATTTCTATTCTTAAAAAAAAAAAACAAAACTGATTTTTTTTTACACTACACCTTTAGAGAAAACCTAAAAGAAAATAATAGGCAATCACATTACAGCCTCATTAAGAAAAACTGGCACTTCAAACTGAAAAATCAAGCAACAAAAGTTTTAAAATAAGCAAAGGCAAGCAACTTCTGTCACATATTCCACACTACATATCATTTATACAGGGTTTTATTTTCAGCTCTTTGTCTTTTACTGTGCACTTGCAGAAAGAGACATGCAAGATTGCTATATATTATGGAGACTTTATTATTTCAATGAGTATCTGAAGACTTCTACAATGTCAAAGATTTACCAAAATCTCCTCAAAAACTCAGATTTTATGCTTAACTTCCCTTCCTCTCCAACACAAAAGAGCAAACAGCCAATGTTTTCTTGCTGCAAAATGAATGACTGAAAGCCAAGAGGAAAAGAGAGGAAGGAATCCCACCTACATCACCAGAGCAATCTGCCAGCATGCACATTAGCACCAACAGATGCTCCAGATGTGCCTCTGGGTCAGAAAAAGACTAGGAGTACCTGCCCTAGAACTGTTTCTCAGTGTGAGACACTTCAACATAAACAATTGCTGTTGATTAACACATCTGCCAGCATGTGCATTAATCATCTATTCACTGTGTGCATCTTCCCCATCTACCCTCCACAATGGCAAAAGTTTTAAAAAATTGTATCTGTTTAACCTCAGGTGTCACAGCAGAGTTGTCCAGCATTGCCCAGAAATGCACACTCTGCTCCTCTGTAGCATTTCTGCAAAAGATCACTAAATATCCTGAGAACCACCCTATCTCCAAAATCACTAGGGACCTTTCTTGCCCGCTTGGCAGCTGTGTGCTAGCGTACATCTGTTTGAGTGGTTCGCCCGGCGTTACAGAGGAAGCTAACAAGAAAACTAGACCTACGATCCTGATTTTTTCAGTTCTCTACTTTTCCAATTAGTCACGGCTTCCTTCCATTCCTTGTAGAGCACCTTCAGAACAGCCTTTGAAGCTGAAGGGTCAAATGTGAAAAGCAACGCTGAAAGCTCAGGTTCAGTACACGGCAGGGAAGTACAACGCCGATCCATTTTGCTGCACAGCTGCCCAGATCCCAGTGACAGGGGGCAGGCGGGTGGACACAAAAGGCAACAAGGCTTTTAAAAGACCAAGCCCACATGTGAGGTGGAATTTTATTTCTATTTGTCAGATGTAAAGCTCCTAGAACAGTGGTTTAGAGCTGTTGTCTATGGGGCTGTTGCAGTAAAAGCCTAACACACCACCTTATCCTTTTATTCTACCCATCTCATCTCAACAATTATCTCAGATTTCAGTATTTACATATCTAAAAAAGTCAATTTACCCAAGCACCACCACCCTCCCCAAACTGCAGAGCATTCCACTAGCTACGGCAGAATCTCAGACAATTCCCAGCTCAAAAAAAAAAAAATAAAACCCAACTTGTTTTCAGCTCGAGCCTCAGAAGAAAAAATTAAAATATGCACAAGTTTAGCGACAGTTCCAAAGTCTCTGAAAACGGGCTTTCATCACGAAAACACTGACACGGCTTCAACAAGAGCAAACAGGAACGCTGTAATTTCCCAGTCTTTCCAACATCTTCAGGAGTATTTCTTATCAGATGTCGTCCCTGCCTCACGTTTATTAGTAAAGACTGAAACCCGGGGTTTACTCCGGGGCTTCAATAACAAGGGCACAATGATCTCACGGCAACTGAAGCGATTTAAGCAAGGCACCCGCTGCATGACCAAAATAGCCCGCTCCACAAAAGGAGAGGCACGGTTTCACACTTAGCCTCTTTCATGACAGGCAGCGTCTCCGCGGCGCGCTGCCTTGTCCGCACGCCGCGCCTTCACGATCCTAGAAACTGTTACCGGAGTTCGCATCCCTCCCCGAGCCCACGGGACCGGGGGCGGCGGGGGCGCGGCGGGACGCGCTGCCCGCCTGCCCCGCAGGCTGCAGGTGGCCGCGGCGCCGGGGCCGGGCGAGGCGGAGGGGCTGCCCGGGGTCCCGCCCGTGCGAGGCAGCGCGGAGGGGAGCGCAGAGCGCGCACGGACACACGCGCGCCCGCCGCGCACTCCCCGTTACGCAACGCGCGTATTTCCCACTTTAAGGAATAAGCGCTAAGCGCGCCTGCAAAGCCCGCGGAGCTCCAGGGGCGGGGGTGCAGCCCCCCGCCTGACCCCGCGCAACAGCTGCTGTGCTTGGCAGGAAGAGGAGAAGGAGGGGAGAAGCCACGCTACCCCCCCGCACGGCCAGCCTCCCCCCAAACTTCGCCCCCCTCCCGCCCGTTCCCCTTCCCCGGCGGGGCTGCCGAGCCGCGGAACAGGCGCACTCACCTCGCCTCCGCGCAACTTTCGGGGGTCGCCCCTCTCGCTGCAGCCTGGGAGGGAGGTGGGGGAGGCAGTGGGGCGGGGTGGAGTGGGCCCGGGGGTGGGGGGGCTGTTACGGCTGAGGAGGTTTGGGGAAGGGGGAGGTTGCTCTTGTTGTTGCTGCTGCTGTTGTTTCGGAAATTCTTATTAGTATTTCTCTGCGGTCAGAAACCTGCACCCTCCCCCCCCCAAATGAAAAAAAAAAAACCCGACCCAGACGATCATCACATGGCGATTGCTTTGAACCAGCTGTTTCCAGAGCCAAAGTCTTGCGGAGAAAAATAAAGGGGGAAGGGAGGGAAGGAGGGGAGGGCTGGCAGGGGGGCCGGAGGAGGAGAGAAAGCCGCAGCGGAGGGAGGGCGGGTGGAGAGAGGGCGGGCGGCGGAGCGGCGGGGGGGGCGGGGGAGGGGGGAGCAGCACCGCGGCGGCTGTGTCGCTGCCGGAGCGGCACCCGGGGCCGGCGGCGGTGGCAGCCCGGCCGGTGGAGGCGGAGGAGAGAAGGCGGCGCTGCTGTGCTGCTGCTGCTGCTGCCGCGGCCGCTGCTGCTGCCCGGCTCCGCCGCCCGCCGCCGCCTCCCGCGCCCCGGCCCGGCGCCGCCCCCGCCCCTCAATCGCTACATTGTTGACATTCGCAGGCTGACGTCACCCTCCCCGCCCCGCCGCGCGCTCCATTCACAACAACACTACGACAACGGCGCAGCGCCCGCCGCCGCGCCTACGCCCGCCGCGGCCCCTACGCACGGGGAGCGGCGTACGGCCGCTCCGCGAATAGCGGTGGCGCCGCCGGCGCTCCGCCCGCCCCGCCCCTCCGCAAGCGGTCAGCGCATGCGCGGCACGGGCTCGCTCGCTCCCTCCCTCCCGGGGCCGCGTGTGTGTGTTTGTGTGTGCGTGTCTGTGTCTGTGTATGTGTGTATGTATGTGTGTGTGTGTATGTATGTATGTATGTGTGTGTGTGTCTGTGTGCATGTACGTATGTATGTGTATCTGTCTGTGAATATGTGTGTGTGTGTGTGTGCGCGCGCGAGAGAGGGGGTGCGTGCTTGCGTGCGTGCGCGCGTGCCGCCAGACCCCGCACCGGGGGTCGCGCCGCCGGCCGCGGGGGGCTCTGGGAGCCGTAGTCCGCCGCGAGGGGCCGCCATGGCGGCGGGGGTGGCCTGAGGGCGCCGCGCTACGACGGCTGTGGCGGTGGGAAGGCACTGGGCAGGGTGCGACGGGCAGGGCAGAGGACACCCACCGCGGTCACCCCTGGCTGCCAGCGGGGTCGCCTCGATGTTGATGCCTGCGGTATTTTGCGCGCTCCGCCCCCCGGAAAAACCTCATCCTACTTGTAGTGCCGACCGCAAGCGCCCAGCGGTCATGAGTCAGCCGTGCCGAGCATCGCGCGGGGAGGTGAGCGCTCCCGGGACTGAAAACAAAAACAAAACCCCGACCCGGTGTTCCCGACGCGGGAGCGCTGATTGTTCTTCACCTCCTCTCGGCTGTGTGTGTGTGTGCGTGTGAGTGAGTGAACCACCCGATCCGAGCTCCTTTCCCACTCCGAGGCTTGGTGCCATGGTTTCTTTTGCCAAGTGGAAAGCTGTGATTCCTGCAAATTATCCTGGTGCCGGCAGCCAGTGCTTCTGAGCGAGACCCCAAATGTCAGTGGCCATGAAATGCAGTTGGGAGAACCGGTAAATGAATAAGCAGCATTCTGCAAGCCCGAGTTACTCAGCCGGGCCTGAACAGAAAAACATAAAGATGAAAGACAGCTGATAAAAAGGAAAGTTGGAGAATAAATGATTCACAATAGGGGCCGTGAGTGAGATTATCTTTGGAGACATCTCTAATTAAAGGGCGTTGGATAACTAGAGGGTTACATTTTCCTGGGTCAGTGATCTTGAAAAAGAAATTGCCGTTGCAGTAAATGTCAATAAAGAATGATGGTGACCTACTGCTAACAAAAGCATGTTCAGTAATTAACATGTGCATGTTTGTTATTTTTTCTGCGTTTGTCAGTTTTCATTGTGCATTTTCATCCTCTGTTTCCCCCTTTGACTACAGCCAGATGATATACTGTGTTTTCTGTATCTTTTAGAGAGGAGCCATTCCTGTGAAGTTTTCTCAATGATGTCTTCTAAAATTGCATCAGCTACCTGCATTTTCGAAGTCTGCTAAACTACAGAAAACTATGTTGTCAACCTAGATTCAACTCTTTTGTATTTCAGGGCAAGCATATAGTCACTTTTCAAAAATGTGATTCTCCCCAGTTTGCATTTTGCACTATTATCCACTTGTGTAAAGTGGAAAGCATTTAGTTCCTTACAGAATTTTGCCCCTACTTTTCCTAGCTACATGTAGCTGCAGAATAGCACCCCATTGGAGATTTTGACTCATGAACGTCACTTTCCCTTTCCAAGTAATGTTCATGTGAAGCCTTGCTCACCAGTGCCATTTAGGTTCTGGTTCTGCAAACATATATGCTGTTAAGCATGCGAAAAGTTCCACAGGGTGTAAGGAGACTCATCATGTTTATACGCTAGTAGGGCTGAGTTTTCATGTTGCCTTCTTTTTCCCTCAGACACAAAAATAATTTTGTATTGGCATGGGAGATAAAAATACTATACTGAGAAGGACAGAGAGATAAAAATAAGCCATGCAGCATTTGTAATGCTTTAGTTAGCATGCTACGTGCCCGTTATGCCACTGCATTCAAAGTGCACATATTCTGTTATTTACAGCACACTACAGGAGATATGGCTCCAGGTAGTCAAAGCCATCCAAACTGGAAACAAAGCACGCCGTGTATGCTCTGCCCATAGCACAATAATTGCCATTTATCTTACTAGCTGATGTTTTAGAATGAATGCTACTATTTGGCTAAAAGGAGGAGTAATGTGAGCATGTCCATTTTGGGTTTTATTATTCAATCTATGCTGTGATAAAATGTGCAGTGGCTTCAGTGTGAATCAGGTCATGCTTGTGCAGGACAGAGATATCAGCAGAGAGTGAAAGAAGGTAGAGCTAAGCAGGGGCTCTGCACAGAATCTTTTTGAAAACTCACCAAGTAGCTCTATGCAGCTTTTGGTACCCAAATGCTATTAATCATTTTGTGATCAACTCATAATTCAAGGCAGAGTTCACAATCCCATAAGTCACTCAGATCATGATTTCGTTATGGCTGTTGTATCTCCATATAACAGTAGAAAACTGAGGAAAAGCTGACAGTTGTTTTCCAAATACAGAAGGAATATTATATTAACCAAAAAGAATATTATACTAACCAAATAAAGCCTACTGTTTAAAAATTGTGTTTTTATATCACATATTTTACATTTTAATGCCTTGGCTTCCCAATTCATTCCCAAACTGTTTATATTCCAGCAATGAATCTGGTCTGATACTGTTTGCATTGCAATCAACTATCTTCATGCCTAGATTTTTGTATATATTACTATTTCTGGACCATTTTTCTTGCAGTGCAACCAAACATATATTCCAGACAACTGTGAGTTATTTGAAGAGGCATCATGTATGGTGTCTCAAAACAACACCCATTTTGTCAAGCAATAACAACAAAATAAGGTAAGAATGAATGGGAAGAGGTACAGTGTAGAAGTTGACCCAAGAATACTTTAAGGGAGAACTTGCCATGAATGCTGCAGCTCATCATCCAGAAAAGGCTGCATACACACATTCAACAACATGTGTTGACTCAGAGCTATGGACAAATTTCCTGGTTGCATGTTACCTTTACTAGCATTAATTAGGTGGTTTCTCCACACTGCCATGACTTCATCTCTTTGAGGAGGACTGCCTGCTATGGCACTTGACCTACTTTTCAGTGGTTCCTTTTTGGATAACACAAAACTTTCCAGAGTAGCTGAATTATGAATACATATTTCAATCATATTTCATATGTAAATTTAAAAGATTTTAAAGTGAATCCAATATTGTAAAACATGTCCCAACATCCCTTTCTGAGATCTCATTTGCATATCAATCTTGTAACTTGAATAGTCTTAATAGTGCCACTTGTTGGAGAGCTCTGTGTATTGCAAGGTATTTCAGTCATGTATTTAAAAAAACAAATGGCTTTTTCCTAGTGAGAGGCAATTCCTAATTTAAAGTGCTATGGAAAGACAAGTACTGCAGTCTTGGCTTCAACCATGCTGACTCAAAGACTTTGAATGAGCAACACGTTAGTGGATCTTATGCAATTTGATCTTTACAATGGTAATGAAGGAGTGAAAAGGGAAAAATAAGGACAAATTTTGCAAGTTTTAATTCAGGAAGTTGTCATTTCCTTCTGAAGCACATTTTGCCCTGCAGCATTTGGGTTGAAAAATACCAGTTTTCCTGGGTAAGCCCTGGTCCTGTGCTGAGATCTAAGTAATTATTGGTAATTATGCACATATTCTCCTGGGTTATGCAGGTAGACTTAATGATACTGCATCATTTTCTTCACAGTGATTAAGAAATTCACAGTTGATTATTGATTATCCTACAGACACCACATGCCTTTTCACAAGCAGGTCCTAACGCACCCCAGGTATGTTACATTTCCTGGAGCACTGACAGTACTAACAGCACGCCCTGAGTCAGTGGCGGTGACAGCTACGAAGGAGACATTGTCATGGTGTGCAATATCAAAGATCCACAGTGTAGCATCTCCGGAGCGTGGCTTGACATCACATCAAACACTCCACAAAGGAGCATTTGTCATGCACAGACCTTCAGATCCCTGGCATGGAATTTTGAGGATCTGGTGAGATATAATATTGGAAATATATTGAAGTATCAACATTGTTGCTGGGACTAAACTTACAGTGACAGGAAGCAAGGTAGGAAAACAGGGCAGGCACTGACCTGTTTTAAACTGATGCAGGTAACATAATGAAAAGGGAATACAAGGACCTCTTTGTATGTCAAGAAACAGGGCCAGGAATCGTTCAGGTTTACACATTTTTTTCCAAAAAGTATTTTGTGGTGACTGAGTGGATTCACTGGTTTTTATCTTTTTCAAAAAGAAAAAGAAAAAAAAAAAGAGAGGTAAACTGTTCACATCACCTGCTTGCTGGGGTCACCCAACTTAGGTTTGACATAGTTTAATTTGCAAAAGTAGTTGCAACACCTATGCTAGACAGGTAGGATGAATGAGCTAGAGATTATTCTTTCCAATGGTTTTACAGGACATGAGAATTTGTTAGCCCCAAAGCAAACACAGCCCTAGCAGCCTGCTGGTACTTTGAAGTTCAGTTCTGTGAAAAGCAGTGCAAATACAGCCCACAGCAAATCCTGGAAATGGCTAGCCAGGTTTAGGCTTTGTCCTTCCTCATTTTAAGTCTGTGCCATCTTCTGAGAATTTCCTCAACTCTGTTACTGCATACAGCTTTTTTTTTTTTTTACTTAGTGTGTCATTATTATTTAGAAATTGTGAGTTACATTTTAGAACTTGCATTTAGAATGGTATTTTTAAATATAATATCAAACTTATTTTTTTAAGAGTTCTGAAGGTCAACTCTGTCAAATTCCATGATTTCACAGGTTGGGATGATCCTAGAGTCCTAAAAGCAAGGACATCTGAAATGACTTATTTAAATCTCAGTTCACATGTTCTCCTATCACTAAGAATCAGCACAGTCAAATGGTTTGAGGGCAGTTGTGGGCAAAACCCTATTTTAGCTTAGCTTGTAATCCATCTTTTCAACAACACTTGGCCTTTAGAGTTATTGTATTAAGAGTATAGAAATCTGGCAGAAATGAAGCTCCCTTGCTTTGCAGCTAGCCCTGAGATCAGAGGGGCTGGGTGAGGCTGAGCTTAATTTCTGATTACAACCAATTTGACACTGTAAGTTCACTTGCATTCATTAACATCCCAGATGCACAAATAGTTTGGGTTACACTGTAAGTCTGGTCTCTTTCACAGTCTCAGATTCACAAATAGCACCATGTGCAATTCAGTACTGAAGGTCTGGTCACGTTCAATAGGAACTTTCACAAACACAGATTTACAAATAGTGCTTTTTATTGGAGCAACCTGTTATAGATTCTCCCTAGATTGCTGGTGGTAAGTTGACTAGACCTGCAAAATACTGGCATGTAGCACTAGGTACGAGTGTTCCTGGGTATGTTCCAATGCAGTCAGAGGCCTAAATCTTACCAAAAATATGTTGCTGGCTTTGAGGAAGAGAGAGGAGCAAGCCCGTTAGTTTGTCTGCAATGTGAGGGATTTACAATGCCAGCTTCCACTTTGTGGGAGAAGTGGAGGTAGTCAAATATTCTATTATTGCTGTCATAAGTGGGGAAGGGGAGCAACCACTTCATGTGTAAATGGACAGTTACAAAGAGAAAGAGTACAAAGATTGTGGGTCTTGTGCAAGGTCAGCACACAACCATGACACCTTCCTACCACTTCCTCTTCCACTTGGCCAGTTGATAAGGGTCATTCATCTTCCTGATAACTTATCGCCCCATCAGCAGATCATCATGTCCCTGGTAATTCCTTCACCACTGTCTCATGGAAATCCCTTCACCATATCAGTTATGGCATAGCTCATGGCTGTAGGCCTCATTCCCAACCCAGTTATCCAGAATAGTGAAAATATCTGCAGCAAGCTGTGAGAGGAGACAAAACATCTGCTTTGTCCAGGCTGTCCTGCAAATCAAGGGATGCACAAGAGTATTAGAAAAATGCTTTTTTCTCTTGAACAGTGCCAAGGGAGGGAAAACATCTGGGACCGGAGAACAAAGAGGGCACGCAGAGGTTAATCTAGATATGACAGAGTGGTGTTTGTGTTCTAGATATTAAATGTCAGGCTGGAGACTTTTTTCCATTCAAGAGCTCAGAGATATTTCTGACCAGTCTAGGTCACAATTCTGACATGTCACAGGACAGCTGTTATTCGGCAAGATTTAATTCAAATTCATTATTTTGGGAAGGAGTAGAGGATAGGTAAGAAGAAAAGCACTAATCTGTGGAGAGAAGTTGCTGTTTCTAAGGACTCTTCTACTCCATATGGTCTTCAATATCAATGAGAGTTTATACACATGTGCCAATGGCTGAATAGACTGAAATCCACTTGTTTAGAGTAAAAGCCTAGAGGTAATTATTAGTCACAGAGGTACTGAGTTGATAACAGTTGTGACTTAGCACCCATGGTTCTGCTTTCAGTGCATACTGTAATAGGGGCTTTTTCCTTTCTTTCCTGGATGGACTGTGCAGCCACAGCAGAGGACATCTGTCTTATGGAAGTCAGAAGGAGTTTTGTCATAACTGGCAGTTCTGGTGGGATGTCTGACTGTTGTGTTGCTCCCTCTCCCCCTCTTCATGTTAAATGGTCTGGCCTCCCTTCTTCTCCTCCCCCCTCCGTCTGCCATTCATCCCTCCCTCTACCCCATTGGTTAAGTTATGCTGAGTCACTCCCCTGGCCCCTCCCCAGGGCCTGTCTGTTATTCTGAGGCCCCTCCCTTTCACCTAGAAAGTTCTACCCAGGGCCTCGGGGGATAGGCTGGTCCCCGGGGTCCCCTCCCTCCCTCTCACCCCATTGGATGTTTCCCCCACTTGTCACCTCGGTTGCCACCCCCAGTTGTTATCCCATTGGTTGACTGTTGTTCCCGCCCCTTGTTCCCTCCCCTATATAAAAGGCTGTGCACACAGTACTCGTGGCCTTTTGGGGCTTATCTCCCTTTGAGGTATGGTTGTCTGCTCAGACTGCTAATAAACTCGAAATGCTGATTCCCCCAGAAGGACGGCTCCTTTGCTTTTGTCAACGTCACTCTGCATCTCTCCCAGTCTGGTGGGTTCGTTCCCACAGGCCATAGCTCCTGCCTGCAGCGGCACGCAAGAGTGGCCTTTGCTGCCCGCAGTGCCAAGGACACTGGCCTAGCTGACACTTGGGGAGGCACTGCAACATCTGACTGGATGCCTGGCTGCCTCTTGTGCCTCTGGCACTGTCTCTCAGTGCTGTCTGGGCTGCTGTCACGATGGCTGTGTTCTCCTTTTGCCTCTGCAGTAGGAGGAATACTGAGCACCCTGCTCCTTAAGCCTTACCTGGAAAGGTATTTCTGGTGATGAGTCATGCAGGATGTAGCAGATGGAGCCATGGAGACAATGCAGTGCTGGTGTGACTGGGAGAGGAGCCTGGAGCACTGGGATTAGGCAGTGGAGATGGAGAGAAGGACAAAGCAGAATGCAAAGCCACCAGCTTTGTCAGAGCCCAGTGGTAGTAGACACAACTGTGTTATGGGGAAAGTCCGAGGTGTCCAGTGTGCCTTCAGAGGGAAGGGTGGGAAGCGATGCACAACA